ATTGAATCGCTGATTCTCCATGTGACGAACGAAGAAATCAAAGGTAAAAGATATGCAGGGATCCCGCAGTGGAATTATTTCCAGACAGCGACAATCCTATGCAAAGGCAGTATCAACTTGCTGCTTTATTTTTATATCCAAATGTTTTGATTACCTATATTAGTTAACTCAGTGTCTTTCTTTGGAGTCTTAAATGTTGTAGTTTCCCAAATTCAGGCCAGGTATAGTAGCAGGTGTTCGGTTATGCTTACTTAATGTTTTTATTGCGAATGTCAGTTGTATCTTCTAGAGTTTCCTTTAAAGGTACAGCTTGTCTTAGACTCTAATACATGTGCTTTAGCAGTTCAGTATGTATTTTTTCCCAAGGAGATCAGATGAAACCCCCATTAGATAATAAGTGTGAAGAAAAAAAATCTCATTTGCAGATTAAGCCAACCAGTTCCAAAAGAATTCAATACAGACAGTGCCACAAAGAACAGTGCCACAAACAGAGAATTAAATGCTTTTCACATATTATCTTTCAAAGAAGTGAGAGACTTTGACGGCACCAGGGAAATCTGAAATAGCTGTTTCAGTAAAAAAGGTGCCCATTGTACAAGAGAGATCAGATTATTTGTAAAGCATCCAGTGTTTTACACTATCTCTAGTCTGGAATCCTGAGCCCTTTCCAAAAATCAGAAGGCTCAAATAGAAAGCTCTCCAAACTAGGGAAAATCTTTGATCTTTCCCTTTCAAGTTACACGGGTTGACAGATTAAAAAAATATATCCTTTGCTTGAATCAGAGCTGTTTGTCATTAATTATGGATGAAAGTAATGTTTTAAAAATGTTTGCTCCTCTATAACGTTGTCAGATCACACTGAAAACTTATTCCACTATTGGTGCTTATCCGTCAGTCGTAGAAATGTACCTTTATAAGGAGTTTCTATGCACTGAGCATTACTTTCAGAAGCATCAATTTGAATAATACGTCAGAGCAGAACCTTCATTCATTTTTATGGGCAGGGTAAAGTCGGGGACTTTCAGTATTTTCTCTCTCTCACCATGCTGCATCTTTTAAGAGCCTACACATTCAAATTACCAGGCAGTTAATTTGAAAATAATTTATTGACAAGCCGTGAAAGGCTTGGAGTAAAGTACTCGGGGATTTTGTAGCCTGTCGTGGGATAGCTGTAAGAAATTAATCAGTTGAACAAGACCAAGCACATTCAGGCACTGGAATTTGTGCCCTTGAGACTGCTGTTCCCAGCCCAGCACAGAACACACCTCAGAGAAACATCCTTCTTCCAGGATCACTCATTCCTACGCCTCGCCCTCACGCGGCAAGCGCGCCGCCAGCTCTTACATAAGGGCTCTTGCTCCATCGCTGCCACAGGCTGTTGCAAACCATTTTTCTACCTTTAAATTCAGGTTCCTAGACAAGCAAAAATGCAGAATAATGCCAGAATAGTCTGGGGAACAGGGATTTCTGTTGTGGATGATTAATTAACATTATTGTTTTGCACTTACAGGGAAATCATAGTTTCATGCCAGTAAGGTCAGGGCCTTAATATGTTGTGTGCTCTACAAAGATGTAAAGAACGATAGCTCATTTTCTGCTATGACTAAGCCAAAGCCTCATCAGGTTAGAGGGGAACATGGCAGAAATAGCGCTGAAAGCTGAAGCAAACTTTTTTCTTACTTTGCTAGTTGCGATTTCGGTGTATCTAAATCCACATGAGACAGAGGGGCAAAAGTAAGATGGGACTTTGGCTCTGTAGGTACCTACCAACTAATCATCCTGCATGATATGCCCTAAATTGCCCTTGGATTAATATGATTTCTGCAGTACTGCAGACAGAGATAGACTGAAGCTAGAGACTCAGAACAAAAAGATCCTTGGAGTTACGTTGAGGCATTTGATCTGTTCAGTTGTATTCTGAAATTAAATTCTTCGTAACTTGACCTCCTCATTACTAATTTCCCAAGTCAGGCTGTTGACCTAAGTGTGTAAACCATGTGTTTGGTTATATTCACAATGTATTTTTCTGCAAATATTTTTATAGCTCTACATATTACAAAGTACATTACCAGCACCAAATCCCAGGGTCTCCCATACATTTTGTCACTGAGTGGGACTCCTGAAGGAATGAGATGTATTCAGTCCAAGAACAAGGCTTCTAAAAGCAAAAAAGTTGCTGAGAATGGTTTTTGGCTAAAAGGGGTAAATGCTTAACATGAGTGGGAAATACTATCACCGTAGGCTCTGCACACAGACAATGCACTAATCCCATGCACTGATTTTTTTATTTTCTTCTTCCAGTGACCAGACCCATCAGCTGCAATCCTTCAGCTCAGACTATGGAAAAAAAACCTCAAGAATAATCCACTGAAAATTTGCAGTAAAATAATTATTTTTAAAACTATTTTTCAGGAATATTTCTTTCCGAAGTAGATGTGCAACACACAATGATTTGAAAGACAAATGAAAAGAAATGCAGTCCAAGTTATTTGTATCAAAATGAGCAGAGAGAACACCTGAGATACTGAGTACTACCCAGTAATGATCCTATAGAAATACCAATTTGCAGGTTGGGAAGAAGTGGGTGTAATCCAACAATAGAGTGCAATAATTATGAAAAATGGGAGGAGGTCAAAGTCGGAAAGCTTTTGATTTCTTTTTGCACTGGTGTTTGTCAAGGTGAGCAAAATCCATTAGCAAGGAACAGCCTGAGTTTTAACACATCTGCGTTTTTAAAAATGTTAATGTTTAATAGGGTGTGCTCATTTTTTATATATCCCTGTTAACAATGCACGGGCTGATAGGCATCTCTTGAGGTTGTAAATCAGTTGCAGAGCCTTGCAAGGCACACCAGCACTTGGCATTCACTCTCATGGTTTATTATGTTATCAGAACTCATTGACTGAATTATGGCCTTATAACAGCTCTTTCTCTGTATTATCCTACTGTTACCGTAGCGTTACTAACCTATGGCCCATTAGAAGATTTTACGTCCTTCTCCAGACGAGCACACAGAAGTTAGATGACTCTGGCGCTTTAATGTACAGGCTCATTTTCTAGGAGGAAATTACTATTTCCCTGACCTATGCCCACAAAGTCTGCCTACCTGCAGATGGTATCGGTTCTGGCTTGGGCTGGTAGAAAGACACACAAGCAAGGAGCAACGTTTTCTCCCTGGTCCTATGTGGGTTGCCTCACCTGCGAGCCAACAACTCAGTTGTAGGCTGTGTTCAGGATTGCATGCTGGAAGCCAAGGTATGTGAGGAAGAAATGGAGGTGAGGACATCATGTTAGTTTTATTTTAAAACTGCAATGATTCCCCCCTACTGGAGAATTCATCCGTCATTTCCCACAGCACATGCATCAGTCCAGCAGGTTGCAAGTCCATAGGCTCACTGCTTGAGAAAGGATTTCACCCTATAGCTTCATAGCTGTGCAGCAAATCTTGAGATGGACATGACCATCCATTGCCCTCCTGTCTTTGCCTGCCCTGCACAGTCCTCTTTTGCACAGCGTAATTTCCCCTTGTGAAAAACTCCACTCCTGATGACAAGCCTTGGAGAACAGGCAGACGTGCAGGCACCTTTTTCATGTCAATCTCGTTAGAGTTTATTGATCCCCCTTGCCTTCAGCTAATGTACTTATATTATTATTAATAAATAATCATCATTTTTCCATCAGTGGAGCCTGCACCTGGGAGCCTTGGAGGATTCTAGCAAAAGTATTATTAAAACTAAAGGTTCCTAAAGGGTTGAAGAGCAGCACAGCCCAGTATTTTGACAGAATCTGCAACTGGGGAGCAAAATATTCCCACTTGAGACAATGCAATAGAGCATCAAATTGGCTCCTCCCCCCAGAGCCACCATTTGGCTCCCTGCTCATGATCACTTCTGCTTTGCTGACAGCCCCCAAGGATGCAGGTGGCTCTTGGGGAGCTGTTGCCCAGGCACGCGGGCTCTTGCAGGACCCTGCCCTGGCTTGGTGTGTGACTCACAGCCCCTGGAGTGCCAAAACTGCTGCTGAGTGCTCCTTCTGGCTGCCAACCCCTCTGCAAGAGTTGCCCAGGCAGCCTCCATCCTCTGCCTGGCCGGCTGCACAGCCTGATCCTGGCTCCTCCCAGGGTACAGTGACCAAGGACCTCTTCCCAGCCTTAGCAGAGCTGTTGCCTGCAGGGGATGGTTTCTCCTAGAGGATTGCACGCATCTGTTCACAAACAGGCAGGAGAGACTGGAAAGAGCCATCCCCAAACTCAGAGACAGAGATAGACATCCAGGCATGCAGTCCTCTGGACAGTAAACTGAAAAGTAGTGATTGAAATGGTTTCAGGGCATTTTGGGATTGCTGGTAGAGGATTTTTGGGATGAAAATCAATAGCAGTGTCAGCAAGGAAAACACTATGTTGCTCAAGGAGGTGATTTTACTGGGAAAGCAGGAAAACAGAGAATCAGAGCTGTAACCTGTAAGTAGACCTATTCCCATCTGCAATCCTGAATTAGCACATCTTCATGCCACCACCACTCCAATTCCTCCCTGGTCAGCCTTGTCTTCCCTGAGGCCTTCCTTGCCAGCTGCACCTTAGGCCATGTGTTATTGTGGGCTTTCCCTCCTGCGTCCTGCTTCCTCCATTGCATCACCAGTGATCCAGATGAGTCCTGTGACCTGGCACCATGACAGCAAACCAGCACCGGCCCTTAATTCTGCCCCTGAAATCACAGAGACCACAACATGCCCATAACACAGATTTTCACTGGAAAACAAACACCTTGCCCCAGTGTTGCAGATGAAATAGGAGCTCCAGATTAAGATAATCCATGTTTCAGAATAAAATAGGGTGAATTATTTGGCAGTAAAAAAAGTACATCTGGCCTAAGCGGAAAGTAAACAAGACCTCAGAGTGCTTTTCTCTGTGTAAAGTCACTTCCCCAGAAGGTGTGTTCAGGTCATGACAGAAGGGCTATAAAGGGACCCCAAGATGCTCATACCCACACTTTGACCTAGACATGGCCATACAGTGTTTGCTGCAGTACGTGGGCTCTGGCTCACTGCTCTGTCTGGCAGCAGGGCTGGTCGTGCTCCTTTACTTTCTTACCAGCTTGAAGAAGTCGGTTTGCAGTTTGCCTCCCGGGCCACGACCTCTTCCTCTGATTGGAAACTTGAATGTGGTGGACCTGAAAAAGCCGTTCCAGTCGCTGACAGAGGTAGGGTCTGAGTGAGTGGACAGGAGGAAAATGTGCATTTCCTAAAGCAAGAAATGCAACTAGAGACATGGAGGTGCGATTGCGTCTGGATTGCGTGGAAGGCAGAAATGAGATATTTGGTGTATAGGCAGGCTGGCAGAGAGACTTTACCTCCAGAGGTACACACACCTATTTATACATATAAATATAATGCACACATTTCTTCCTTTATACACACCCAGGTGTAGACCCCCACCCCTTACACTTAGCTCCATATTGTTGGTATCCTGAGCCGCTCAGAGGGTGCAGGTAGAAGAGTCGAGCTGGACCAGTTTGCTGACAGATCTGGACCGTTTGCCATCAAGAGATGTCTCACTGCAGACAGACCTCTCCCACTGAAGGTGTGAAGCTAGGAAAGAAGGAAGGGAGGGTGGGTATCATCCCCACAGCAAAGAAAATGGGATCATATGCCCATTTATTTCCAAAGCTAATTACGTCCCTGAGATGCTAAGCCCAACTCTGCCTCTCCAACCCTTCCCCTGCACACACACTGGCCATGGCTATTTAATACTTGATGCATGGCTTTTATGTGTCTAGGTAAATTAATGGCTTTTTCATATGCAGCGCCATACATTTATTTCTAAAAGGTTAAAAAAAAAAGACTTAAATATTTTAAAGCCAGGTGCAACATTTGTTTCCGAGAGTGTTTGCTGTGTTCTCATAGAGAGGTGGGGGCGATTCAATGAGAATTCAGATTTCTTCTGTTTGCTGTAGAGGTGGCTGTGGTGCCATGAGTGTCACACACCTTGTGTGTGTGCTTACTGGACACTGTGACAGGAAAATAATAAACCTCCTGAGAGGGCAGACACCAAAATTCTCCAGTCATAGAAGAAGGGCACCCTGGGCTGAGAAAGTACAGAATTGCTATGGCAGTCACACAGTGTCCATCTGCCTAGATTTATGGTGCAGAAGATTGTACAGAGCACAGTTCTGATGGGCTTCTGAAGATCTGATCACAGGTATGTTTGGGGGTGCCGGTATGGAGGAGCAACTGTTTTTTGTGGTACTGAGGGATTTTATGATACAAACGTCATGCAAAGGTACCAGACTCATTTTCTGTAATCTACCAAGAAGCTTTCTTTGGGCTTTCAGGCCTGCCACATCCAATACTTGCGTTGCTCAGGAAAAACAGGGTTGATGCCAAGAAGTACTAATGTAAAGAAATGACCAAAGGAAGGCTGGGAGGCAGCTGCGATCCCTTACCTGGTTGTGCCACACACTCTGTGAGCTGCTGGGGAGGAAAGAACCAATGTTAATGTTATCTCCCAAGCCGTCAAACCAGCGTTTGATGAAAACAAATTCAATTTGTCTGGTGTAATAACAGGAGCCGCTTCTAATCTGAAATTCAATTTTCAGTATGTATCTAATGCATAGCAAATGGTAACCCAGGCACGTCGGAAACAAGAAGACATTTGGTGCGGATGACTTGCAGTGTGTTTAAACAAAGCCTAAAATACCGAGTGAATGATTAGATTGTCATAGCCACCCTTCTGTGCAACAGATGATTCATATTTAATTTGCTATAAAAGCCTAGATCTCCTGTGACATTATCTACAAGAACATGCTTCCGAGTGGGATTCAAGTTTCTGGTGGCCAGCAAATAATTTTGCGATGATTGCAACACTACCCACCTTGCCATAATTAGAGACAAGTGCTATCCTGAAAGAAAGAGTTATTGTGTAGCTTTGTTTTTGCAGTGTTTGTGGCTTCAGCCTCAAAGATGTGTGCACACCCGCTTGCCTCGAGTCAACAGCATTAAAATAAACAGGCCTGCCTGCTACAGCATTTTCCTACCAGCCTACAAATGGTAGTATTGCTGTGCTGGCCTGTTACTGCAGATCACCACAGGAATGCAATGGCATTTTATTGCCTTCTCCTCTGATAGGAGCGGTGATAGCAGACACCTTGTTGTGCAAACAGGGTGCAAGCACAGATGCTGGCAATTGATAGCTGCTCTCATTAGTTACATTACAGCAGCACCTGGAGACTTTAGGCAAGGCTGAGAGGCTCCTTTTGGGCTAGAAACCACCTAGGGTGGCTAGTACTAACATTTGTCCAGATCTGGTTTTGAATGACCGTATTTATTCATCTTGATAGCTCTCCAAGATATATGGCAATGTCTTCACTGTGTATTTTGGACCCAGGAGAGCTGTGGTACTGGCTGGATACGAAACCATCAAGGATGCCCTTTTAAATCATGCTGAAGAATTTGGAGAGAGGGCAGAAATACCCATATTTAGGAAAATGACACAAGGAAATGGTAAGTGACCCTTGGTTGGTTAGTTTTTGTAGTTTGTCTGTGTTCATTATAATCTTACAACAGAAAGTATTGTCCTCTTACAGATTGTTTTTTGTTTATACAACAGCATATCAAGCAGCTTTGGTACCAGTGTGTAAGAAGGCCTTACAAACATTTATTAACCACAATGGTAACACAAGGGTGTTACATCTTTATTTTAGGCATAGCATTCAGCCATGGAGAGCAATGGAAAACTATGAGAAGATTCACTTTGTCCACGCTGCGAGATTTTGGAATGGGAAGGAGAACCATTGAGATCCGAATCCTGGAGGAAGTAAATTCCCTTATCAAATATTTTGAATCCTATCACGGTGAGTATCAAGACTTTCATCCAGAGACAGAAAACAAGTCTACCAGAACAATAAAGATTAATGAAAGTTCAGCTCTGAGCAAATGGTATCTCATGGTTAAAGTTCAGCTTATGCTGAAGTCGGTTATTAAACCAAGGCCTTAAAACATTGAAACTGAGTGCCCTGCTGTGCATTCTGGGTGGTGAATGAGTTTTTTCTTTGGAAGCTCAGGACTATATTTCTATAGGAAACCTCACTGAAATGAACATAATCATATCGTCATTTCTTTTCATTGCTTGAAATACAGGGAAACCATTTGATACGAGGATGATACTCAACAATGCTGTGTCTAATGTCATCTGCTCTGTGTTGTTTGGAGAGAGGTTTGAATATGATGATCCTGCATTTCTAATTTTGCTGAAGCTGATAAATGAGAATACTAAGCTGTTGGGCTCCCCTATGGTGCTGGTAAGAGCTCGATTTTATGTTTTAGGTTTACAGGGAATATCCCATGGCCTCCCACGTCTTCTTGAGAACAAGAACATGATCCGCCAGGCTGCACAGAACACATCTGCGGTTCTGTATCCATAACACATGGATTCCCAAGCCTCTGCACTTAGTCTGTGAAGCTTCTTAGTAACAGAAAAAACCAAATTCTTCACAAAAGGAACTATTTTTACTCTGTCCATATGACATACTACAATGCTGTGCTCAGCCCAGCTCCTAAGACAGCGTAGTTGGTTAGCTCGGTGCTGTGCCTCAGCTAATTGGCTTGGAAAGCACCATGTTGACACAGCAATATTGTCTGTCATGAGGGTGGCCAGTTCAAGTTCTTTCTGCTGCCATAGGATGTGACACACCTGAGGGCTTTCCCTGGAATAAGTGCAATGCTCACATCCCCAGATTTTATATCTGAGACCCTCTGTCCCACAGCTGGAAGCTCTGAAGAAATACTAAGCTGATGAAGTCTCCCAGAAGTCATGGCAAGGACTCCTGCAGAGGTGTAATAGACAACACTCTATTTGCAATTCATAGCTGCTTGGAGTATTCAAGTGAATGTGGAGGAATTATGGCCTGAAATGTCAGGGCATGGGACAAGGGACCAGCAGTGTGATTTGAGATATCAGTATGTTTTCAAAATGCCCATTAACTGTAAGACTTCTCTTGCTCCACAGTTATATAACTTCTACCCATCCCTTGGATTTCTCTTTGGAGCTTCCAGGACTGTGCTACAAAATGTCAGTGAGCTGAATGCTTTTCTGCAGAAGCTCTTCCAGGAACACAAAGAAGAGTTTAATGAAAACAACTTAACAGGCTTTGTTGATGCCTTTCTGATGAAGCAACAACAGGTACTTTAAAGCTAAGTCTCAGAGTCTTTCTGTTCTCTTAGCTCTGACTGTTATTAGGACTGATCATCTGTCAGGGACTGGGCGTGAGTGAAAACAGAAGAACTGCAGTGAGGAGAATATATCAAAGCTCATACTCACAGTGAACTGTGCCGTACTTGCTCCATAGCTCCACTGAAACTGCTCGTAAAAGGGATCCAGGTGTCAAGATGTCCCATATGGGTGAAATAAGTTACCACTCACCACACATGCAAGCATGGTACAGTGATGAACTTCATTGCAGTAATTAAATTTCAACTAACCAGTATCTGGGGACTGCACATACACTTGGGACCAGACTAATTCCATACAGCATAGGCTCTAATACTAAAATACTAAACAGTTAGTTTCCCAGAGCATATAAAGACACAAAAAACTAAAACACAGATAAAAAGGGTGGCAACACAGTCCCATGTTTGATTGGTATCACTTGCTGTAGAAGTTACGATCGTTACCTGTATGTTTTGAAGGAGTCAAAGAAACCCCACACTATGTTCAGCAATGGAAACTTGTTGTTTTCAACCCTGGATCTCTTTGCTGCTGGGACTGAGACTACTTCTACGACTGTGCGCTGGGGTCTTCTTCTGATGATGAAATACCCAGAAATTCAGAGTAAGGCTGAGAAGTCCTCTTGTACAATATGCTGTTGCATGCTTAATGCTTTGGTTGTGGAAGGGAGTGGAACTCATTCACTGTTGTCTAGAGTAATTATTCTGAGTACTCTGAGAGAGATAACAGACGTTGACTTTACAAAGGAATTTTATTCATCTGGATTGCAATAAACCAGCCCAGCCAAGTGGGAGAGGCTAAGGGCCAGTCCACAGTTACAGTAGAGCTCCCCATGGTTATTCTCCTGCAGGCTATGGACTGACGTCACTAAAGGTCTCCTCAGGAGCTGATTCTGATCTGGTTTCTGTTGAAGGCCATGGGGTAACAAAGGTGTGTAAACAGAATAAGGCATGGGATGTACTGTGGTGACTCTGTCCAAGCTCCCATGGCTCAACAACAAACCTGAAAGAGCCACACCATGCCCTGACTTACCCACTTCTGCTCTTCCCAAATGCCCCTCTAAGTTTTTCCTTTTCTTAATCCTGGCCTCCTGACCTGGGAGGTCATTTCAGTTGCAAGATAAGAAGCTTATCAGTTTCTTAATCCTTTCCTCCCTCCAAGGAAAGATTCAGGAAGAAATGAACCAAGTCATTGAACCAGGAGAGCTGCCTAAGTTGGAGGACCGGAAAAAAATGCCTTATACAGATGCAGTGATACATGAAATACAAAGGTTTGCCAATATTGTCCCAATGGGTGTATCACGATCAACTCCTACTGATGTGAATTTCCAAGGTTACATGATTCCTAAGGTGAGCTTTGAGGCTAGCAGCTTGTGCTGCACAGATTCCTTACAGTTTTGCTTAAAGCAGACAAAAAGAAAAATTTAAAAACCTAAAGACACTGTGATGCATGGTTTAATCTATAACATGATCCTTTGTTGTGGCTCCAGGATAGCTGTTATAAACATGCCCTGGAGTGTGGTCTGTTACAGCTGTTTGAATCCAGAATAACCAGAGAGTTTAATTAAATTATGCTGATTTGAATCTTTTATGCCAAATGTAGAACCTCCACTTCAGCATCTTTTTGAAAGATATGACTCTGTATGAAGGGAATGTTTTGTGGTCCAAAAAGAGAGCAGCAGCTACTGATAACAGGCAGAGCCACAGTGGGGCAGGGTATGATCGCCCAGTTTTGTTTGCCATGGCTCAGTCTTATTTGCCTCTTCATGTTAGAAAAAGGACAAGAGAAAATGGCCTCAAGTTGTGCCAGGGATAATTTAGATTGGATATTAAGAAAAATTTCTTCACCAAAAGTATTATGAAGTGTTGGAACAGGCTGCACAGGGAAGTGGTTGAGTCACCATCCCTGGAGGTATTTAAAAGACAGGTAGAAGAGGTGCTTAGGGACACAGTTTAGTGGTGGACTTGGCAGCGTTAGGTTTACAGTTGGACTGAAAGGTCTTAAAGGTGTTTTCCAACCTGAATAATTCTATGAAAAAAGCAAGCAGCTGGGCTCAACTAGGAAAGTGATCTGCTCTAAACAGCTACCATGAGTTTCTTTGATCTCTTTCAGGGTACAGAGATTATTCCACTGCTGACCTCTGCTCTGAATGATGAGTTACACTGGAAAACTCCACATCAGTTCAACCCTTCCCACTTCCTGGATGCTGATGGGAACTTCGCTAGGAGAGAGGCATTTATTCCATTCTCCATAGGTGAGAGAGGTGTACGTGCACCACCTGGGCCTCAGCTAATGGCACAGTTCCCCCCGATTCCAGGAAAGTGTGAAAGTCAGGGACACAGAACATAGGATAAGGGATTTCTGGTCATTTGGTGTGTCCAGCTTTGCTGTAAGCAACCACCTCTTCTTTGGGAGACCTGGGAGTCACTGATTTATCCACAGTCACTGGATGGTCTCACAAACCTACAGACTTCTGTGTGGTTTGAGACCAAATCAGTAGCACTTACAATATACAGAGAGAAGGAAGAAAAAATTTCACCAGCCTGTTCTTATGGACTGTACATCCAGTTTAGAAGGTCTCAGACATCAACACCAACAGCTACAGTGCTGACCATTTACTTCTCTCCTGGTTGTTTTCAGGACGAAGGGCTTGCGTTGGAGAAGGACTGGCCAAAATGGAGCTGTTCCTCTTCTTTGCGGGGTTACTCCGCAAATTTGTTTTCCAACCCCCTCCAGGAGTGGATAAGTCAGACCTAGATCTCACTGCTGATGTTGGCTTCACCTTGAACCCAATGCCTCACCTGGTTTGTGCTATGCCCTACGAATGACCAGACAACATGGTGTTAGAGTAGTGAACACTTCAAGCTTGAAAGCAAGTCTAGTTATGGGGGAAAAAAGGCTGTCTGTACCTGAGCTTTAGGGGAAGGAAGACACTGGGCACTGCTATTTTTCTCTCATTCATGCCATTCTTTCCATCAGCTCCTGCGGTGTCTGTATAATGCAAACCCTTCAGACACCCCTGAGCACTGCTCTCAGAAACAGTGTGATTCATTCCTAAAACAGCACATTGGAGATGCAGTTTTCAGGGCTGTTTGAAATGGCTTGAAGCCTCCTCTATAGATTTAACCCATCAGGGGCTCTTCCTTGAGAGCCTCCATGGGGAACTTCTCAGCTCAAAGTCCAAGCTCTATAGCAGAGCTGATTATCGATGGCCCAGCTGCAGTCAACAGACCCTTGATAGATCTGGAAACCTCCCCAGGACGGTTGTTCAGCTGAGCCTCAGACTGAGCTTCCATTGTGCGACGCAACCTGCCTTTATTGCAGAGTCCCAGACACGAGGATGTAACATGGGCTGATGCCAAGAGCCAGGCACAGGACAGTTATCAGAAAACATCTGAGTGGTTTGGAAAGAGGGCTCATTCCAACTCACACTAGGCACTTTATGCTGAAAATCCAATTCACGATGGGGCCAATCTAGCAGCCTTCTGCTTCTGCTAAGAAAGGCATTTCTACCACTCCCTCACCACTCCCGGCTTCATGCTGGCCCTGGCACTTGTCCCATCACTTACTGGACCATCTTAGATCGCTAAACTGGCAGAATATGACCAGCTACAGAAAGTGAACAGTTTCTGAATCAGCGGGACTAAAACCAGACACAAGCCTGGGCAGTGTGAGGGTGATGCAGCCTGGGGCCGGGCAGCAGGATGACTCCTGCACCCCATCAGAGAGCTGAAAGGCTCAGCCCTTATGTGTGATGGAGCCCCACTTTCCTGGAGATGGCTGAACACCTGCCTGCCGATGGGAAGTAGGGAATTAATTCCTTGGTTTGCTTTGCTTGTACACGCAGCTTTTGCTTTACCTATTAAACTGTCTTTATCTCAATCCACAAGTTTTGTCATTTTTACTCTTCCTATTCTCTCCCCCATCCTACTGGGAGGGGAGCGAGCAAGCGGCTCTGCGGGGCTTAGTTGGGGTTAAACCTTGACAAACTCTTTAGAAAACGTTGCTGTCTGTCTGCAGCCCTACACCAGATACACAGCCCCTGGCGTTTCAAGCGGTCAGCCTCTCCAGACATTCCTGGGGCCAGGGATAGGCAGCGAGGTCTCCAGGCAGGGTAACAGATCAGCCTGCACCGCTGAGCAAATACCACTGCCACGGGCTTCCATGGCAGGGCCACGTGCTCAGCACACAGCAGGAGTGGCAGCAGGTACGTGCGCTCAGCACACAGCAGGAGTGGAGCCATCACAGTCAGAACAGCAAGAAAGATATTGGTGCTTGCAGAAGTGCTTTGGCTGCTTAGGTAGGAACTGAAGTTACAAATTCAGAGCTGGTAATGCTCATGTTCTGCCAGGAGACATCTGCATCACTATTGAGGCTGATAGGTTTTTGAACGTAGTCACTGTGCAAATAGATGTAAAACTGGTAATAGAATCTAAAAGGAGAAGCAAGTGAGACTTTGTTACCAGGTCGCTCACCTGTACCATTAATTTGTCCTATGGGGGTCTCTGTAGGAAGCTGGTGACACCCCAGGAGACTGCAGCTGTCCTAGAGCGGCAGTTGGATTACTGCAGTTAATGATTTATTTCATGTAGCAGCCATGAGGAGTAGGAACACCTAGCTGTACCCGCAAGGCTACAGTTGTTGAGGGAAGTGGGACACGTGTGAAATCTGAACAGTGGTGCAGGTACAAGAGAGGACGCGGCTTCATGTGCTGTGAAACAGGCAGTAAATCACAGGTGGGTTAGGGAGCAGAGTCACTGAAGGTGCTTTTGTGTTGGGTTGGAGGGAGGAAAGGCAGCTTAGGATGGGAAAAAAGGGAGAAACAGAAAGTTACAGAGAATGAGGCAGCAGTTAAGGTAAATCTTTAACATAAAACTAAAATCATGGTCTTCTAAAGCTGATCTGTGCTGCAAATGGAAGGAAAGGAAGGAGGAAGAGGAGATGAAGGATGACAAAGTAGGGCAGTCCTTGTTTAGCCAAGACACTGGCTCTTCACACCAGCAACTAAAGGCAGCACTGGAACAGCCGTACTGTACCTTGTACCTGTACTGGTGTGGCACTTGTACACGCGCTGTACCCTGGAGCCAGCTCCAGCTCCTGGGTACGGCTCAAGGAGTCTGCTTTACAGGCTGTGTAACAAGAAAGCCTTCACTGCCACATTTGCTTACATTTGTTTTGCTGTTGCTCTACTTGCAGTCTAACTCCTGCAAGCCTGATAAATAAATATTTTGCTCTGTTGCTGCTGATCTATCTGCTGTTGCAGGATGAAGTTGATTTTGGGTCAAACTGATAAAGTCGGGCTGCACCACCTTTAGTACACCCACACTAGAGAGGTGAGCACAGAGATCCCTGGGCAACACGCAGCCAGAACATGTTTAAAAACACAGAGTGAGCAATACTCACAGCCATAAACAGCCCGAAGGAAACAATTTAATTTCTAACTCCACAAAATCGCAACTGAAAAGGTCCTTTTATTACTTAAATAATGGTCCCCTCCAAAAGTACCTCCTATCAAAATCAGACACACAGTCCAGGTGTTGATGCAGTTTAATTACACAAGAGACCTAGGGCCTTGGAGCCTTGTTAGCAAGTCTACACTTGGGGTTGTATCCTTGCTGACTTACAGGACTTAAAGCAACAATTTTGAGAACTCACTATTTGGTGAATTAGGGAGTCCTCCCAGATTCCCAAAGTGCTTCAGACATCGCGCAAGGCTTTTTCTTGCGTTGGTCGCAGGGAGACAGACAAGCAGTTGAGACGATGTTATGCTCTGGATCCCACATTTCCAAAAGGATATACTGACTTCAGGAGAAGCTGGGACAGGAGGAAAGAAAAATGATGATGGAGAAGGAAAACCCTTCACATGGACAGTGGCTTGGAAGATGTGGTTGTTTGCTTTAAAGTGGAGATGGAAAATAGAAGTAGGAAGAGTAAGGCCATGCAATGTCCCAGAGAAGATGATTCATCTGCTTCCATCAGCTTTTCATCACAGAGGCATAACTGAAAATTAAAGTGAATGAGAGCAAATTTAAACTAATAGAAGGAAATAGGTTTTTATGCCTGCTACAGCCTTTCAACACTAGAGAAGGGATGCAACTCCATGTGCTTCAACATAAAAACTAGACTACAGACAACACCAGGAAAGAAACATTTTCTTGGCTGGGTAATACATTAACTTACAGTGCCCTTGGAGTTCCTGTGGTCCCTGGGTCTGTCTGCTGTCCAGAACAGGACATGGCTGGAGATGGCTCTCTGATGTGGCCTTTTACTGCAATTCCTGTGGCTCCTGCCCTCCCTTAAAAGGAACTCATCACAGCAAAAGCCAGCAGGAGTTATTGGAGGCTGCACTGAATGCACTGCTGGTTCAGAATGGGTCTGGCAGGGAAAGCAAAGAGATTTGGAGGGATTTAAGTTAATTTAAAGGATGCAGAGCTCATGCTTTACTGGCTGGCTCTCTCCAGGCTGCCCAATGGGTGCGCTTTGGGGTCGGTGGATGATGCCTGTGCTCCATGTCCTCACCAGCACTGCCTGGTTAACACACTGTGGGCACAAGAGATGGAGGACAACCTGTCTGCCAGCACCTTGAGGGACAGAGGACAACCCATCTGTGAGCACCCCATGGCACGGAGCACAACTCATCTGTGAGCATCCCGAGGGACAGAGGACAACCTGTGTGCCAGCACCCCTGGGGCCTGGCTGCCCCAGGAATGCACCCGGAGCGGTGTCAGCGCCTGGCAGGTGTTTTGTGCTCGTCTCTGTGTGCTCAGGCAGGGGAGCACGTAGCAGTGCGGCTCCAGAGCAAAACACGTACCAGACACATTATTGAGACAGGAATTTCTTGTCATCGCAAGAGCTTGACTTACCTTTGTCATTTTAATGCATTGCACTCAGAGCCTGGCTTAAAAAAAACTCCAATGCATTCCCCTCCCGCTTTTCAGAAATAATTTAAGACTTTTTCTGAAAGGCCTTTTTATGCTTTCAGCAGCTCCCAGAGCAAGGATGAAATACCAGGAGAGCGGCAGCAACACGTAACTTCTGCACTGCGGGGTGCTGCCGGTCAAACAGGACCCTGCAGGGACAAATATTCTGCCTGGAGCGCAGAGCATGTGCCATGGTGAGTTCACATCGCAGTGCCCACGTTCTGCACCCTGTGCCAGCCCTCATCCTTCTTGCCTGTCTTCACAGCCCCTCTGCCTCTTTGCTCACTTAAGCAGGAGGGGTTGAGTCATCCTAGGTGTGCTCCGGGGGAAACCGTTGCCTCCAGCCCGTTTCTTGGAAACTAATAATAATAAAAAAATAACCCCAGAAGTGTTGCAACACACCGGCTGCTTCTGCTTCTGGGCAGCTGCTGTGCTGTAATGTCTCCACACTGCGCAGGCAGCTCCAGTGCGCAACCAAGCAGCTGTCAGCTTTGGGACTGTTCTAACCATAGCTGGTCCCCTTCCTTCCCTGTCTTCTTTTCATCTGCAAGGCTGAGGACCCATATTTGCTAAAAATAATGGCATTTATATGATCTAACCTTTGGATAAATGTGCCTTTAGCCTTGTGATTCCTGATGATGCAAGCAGATCTTCGTTCCCTGAACAATCTTATTGCATTGTCTGTTCATTCCCAGTATCCTCCTGGGAGCCGCTATTCAACCAGGTAGATCTTAATTCCTTGTGTACAGGATTTAAACCTTTATGAGAGACGCAAGCTCCAGGTGTTTCATGTCTTTGATTTAAAGTAATTCCCTTCTCCAATCTTGTTGCCCTTCTGAAGCCTGGCAGGTCAGCTGCTTTCATTAACTCCATTAACTTCTCCCCTCTATCTCTTAGAAGCTGCTCTT